TCATGGACACATAACTTCTGGTCATTAGAAACCGTACAGGTATGTTCACCATGTACACTAATAGGCTGACATCATCATGGACACATCAGCCTCTTTTTAGGTAAGTGTGGTGGTGATGGCAGTATAGTCGCTAAGTCATGTCTGACTCTTTGCGACCCCATGGACTGTAGCCCAACAGGCTCCTTTGTCTATGGGATTTTCCAGGCAAGAATACAAGAGCAGGTTGACATTTCCTTTTCCAGGGGACCTTCCCAACCCAGAGATCAAACCTGCATCTCCTGCATTGGCAGGTGGATTCTTTACCACTGAGCCACCAGGAAAGCCCAGGTAAGTGTGACTTGGTGGGAAAACAACTGCGTCACAACAAAGGCATGGCTCCGGAAAGGGCATATGAACAGCCCAGCAGAAGCCCCAGACGCCCCAATTCAACTTCATCAGTCACGACTGCCCACCTTCCTATTTCAGAAGGTAACCCCATCAACCTTCTATCTGTCCAACCCTGAATCCTTAGCATCATCTCTGAGAGCTCCTACATCCTCCACAACCAGAATCAGAAATTACAGCTTCTGACTATTTCTTTATCTATTCCTTCATCTCCCTGACAGTGCAGGCCATCACCACCCTTCAGGTTTCAGCTCCCTAACCTGGTCTCCCTATCTTCTATCTCTCACTTTTTTCCAAAAACGTTCTCCACAAAGTCAGAGTTCCTCTTCAAAGCAAATCTGATTTCTTTTTTTTTTTTTTTTTTATTAGTTGGAGGCTAATTACTTTACATCATTGCAGTGGTTTTTGTCATACATTGAAATGAATTAGCCATGGATTTACATGTATTCCCCATCCCGGTCCCCCCTCCCACCTCCCTCTCCACCCGATCCCTCTGGGTCTTCCCAGTGCACCAGGCCCGAGCACTTGTCTCATGCACCCAACCTGGGCTGGTGATCTGATTTCATGTCTCCACCTAAAGTCAAAAGTTTCTACCTGCTCCCAAGATAAGATCTAACCTGTTTAGGCACCACAAACCACCCCCGCTGAGCTGGCCCTGAGGCTACATTCCCAGTCTCTCCCTTCTCACCCCTCTCTTACCCACATTCCAGCCACATCAACCACCTGGAATTCTTGAACCTGGACTGGTTCTGCACCTTTTTGCACCCAGTACCTTCACATGCAGTTCCCTCTGTGAGAAGTGTCTGCGGAGACAGCTATGTATATATTCAAAATTCAGTGCAGACATCACAGTCCCTGTGCTATCTTCCTAAACGCTCCTCCCCACAAGAAGAAAGCCATCTTGTCTGCTCCTAGGGTGTCTCTTTCCTGGCTGCTTGTAAACCTTTTCCTCTCCTTACTTATTGGTTTTCTCTTGAAGGATTGTTGTCACTTAGTCACTAAGTCATATCTGACTCTTTTGTGACCCCATGGACTGTAGCCCACCAGGCTCCTCTGTCCATGGAGTTTCCCAGGCAAGAATACTAGAGTGGGTTGCCATTTCCTTCTCCAGGGAATTGTCCCAATCCATGGATCAAACTCAGGCCTCCTGCACTTCAGGCAGATTCTTCACCTACGGAGCCACCAGGGAAGCCCTCCTGAAGAGTTATGGTTAGATAAATGAGATGTTACTGCCTAGATGCTACCTGGACAGAATGTCTTGGCATCTGACTTGTACTGTGTGTGTTCAGTTGCTCAGTCATGTCCAGCTCTTTGTGGCCCCAGGTACTGTAGCCTGACAGGGTCCTCCGTCCATGAGATTCTCCAGGCAATAATACTGGAGTAGGTTGCCATTTCCTACTCCACTGACTTGTACTGGGTGCTCATTAAACAAGAGCTGAAGGAAGAAGTTCATGAATCATATGCCCCTAAAATCTTACTTACAATCTCAGTTGCCCTTATGAACCTTCTTCCAGATCTCTATGTATCTCTGAAGATTATTAGAGATAGAACACAGAGATAGAACAAAGTCCTACAAGCAACTGGGAGAGGGCAATTTTAAACATCTCAATCATTAAAACGGTGTACTTGAGTCATGATTTATGATTTTCACTGAATCTCATGTCATGCTCCTAGAACCTTGGAAGTAACAAGGTTACTACACACAGTTATTGACCCAGCCTCAAACACAAGTCTGGTATGCTTTTCACTCTATCGGGCTTATCTCAAATATATGCCATAAATCCAGTCACAAAACTCTGTCTTTTATTAACCAGGGAGCTGTCCAGACTAATCATAATTGTGGCTACTTAACATGTATTCTGAGGAGGACGCACATGTGTGCATATGTGTACTTAGCGCACAAGAGTTTGAGTACCTCCCTACTCCCAAATTAGAAGCAGCAAATTAAAAAGACTACCGAAGGCAGGCCCAATGTCAGAATCAAGGAAAAATGCTGTCAGAGAAGACACAGATCAAAATCATGAAAGGAGAAAATCTGAGGGCCTGAAGTCAAGCCAGTCCTCTGAGGCCACGGAAGAAGCAAATAACTATTCATTCCCACCCCAGGGGCCTGGAAAGGCCTCAGTCATATAAGCTTTGACATGTACAGTGGGGTGACCTCGAGTCACACACACGAAAGAGTCACATTATGAAGGCAAGAAGACATAGCACTGGTTTTAAAGAGATTTCAATCAAGACAGCTAAAGTAGAATTCCGGTGCTTAAAGGAATGCAGCCGTCTTGGAAATTTTACTTAGGTGGAATAATCCTTACTCTACACAACATATGTAACTATATGCCCATGTTTGAAGGCACTCCAAGACCAACAGATTCTAAAATTAGTTTCATTAGTAAGTCATCCTACCAAGTCATCTGTAAATGATGGCAGAGAAACATTTAAGACCTCAAGGGAAAACTCCCTACAACACAGGGCAGTGGCTTTGCCCCTCCCTAAGCGCTGCCAGCATGACACACAGCCCCGCACACAGCCCAAGCCCACGCGCGGGCACACACAGCGCAGGAGGCACCCGCAGGGCACAGCGGCTCTCTGCACAACCGGCAAAGGAGGGAGGCTGGGGAGGAAGCTAAGAGTAAAATGGGGCGTTGGAAAAACTGAACGGGAACAGCACACGAGGGTGACTGAGGCCTGATCCACCGGTCGAGCCGACGCCCACCAGGCACACGCTCAGCTGGACCTGACACAAACGCCTGTGCCCCATGGCTCCCCCAGATCCACAGCTGCCCCACAGCAGGGGCAGGGAAGGATCTCCAAGGTCCGAGGGCCTCCCACGCTGAGGGGGCACTTTTCCAGAGCAGGGGCAGCTGAGGGACGGGGCTGCAGAGGGTCAGCCCCTGGGCACCTCCACGCGGCTTTGCTAAATGTACACATTTAAATAATATTTATGAGACACAGAAAAGGCTAGGGTAGGTTGAAATGATAGCTTTAAGAATCTAAGGACTTCCCTGGTGGTCCAGTGGCTAAGACTCCGTGCCTCTAATGCTGGGGGCCAGGGTTCAACTCCTGATCAGGGAACTAGATCCCACATGCTGCAACTAAGACCTGGCTCAGCCAAATAAATAAATATTTTAAAAAAAGAAGAAGACTCTAGCCCACAAAGAATGTAAACTGGTACAGCCACTGTGGAGAACAGTACAGAAGTTCTTAAAAAAAAAACTAAAAACAGAGTTGCCATATGATCCAGCAATCCCACTCCTGGCAGATACCTGGACAAAACTGTAATTCAAAATGATATGCAAAGCCCTGTGTTCATAGCAGCACTATTCACAATTGCCAAGACATGAAAACAACCTAAATGTCCATTGACTGATAAATGATGTGGTAATATATACACAATGGAATGTTAGTCAGCCATAAAAAAGAATGAAAGAATGCCATTTGCCACAACATGGATGGACCTGGAGATTATCATACACAGTGAAGTCAAACAAAGACAAATAACATATGAATCACTTATATATGAAACCCAAAACATGACACAAATGAACAGACTCAAAGAGAAGACCTGTGTTTGCCAAGAGGGAGGGGGGAGAGGAGGGAAGGACTGGGAGCTTGGGATTAGCAGACATCAATTATACATGGGCTCCCAGGTGGCATTAGTGGTAAAGAACCCACCTGCCAATGCAGGAGATGTAAGACATGTGGTTTCAATCCCCTGGGTTGGGAAGAATCCCTGGAGGAGGGCATGGCAACCCACTCCAGTATTCTTGCTTGGAGAATCCCATGGACAGAGAAGCCTAGTGGGCTATAGTCCATGGAGTGGCAAAGAGTTGGACACGACTGAAGCAATTTAGCACCCACACAACTATCATATATAGAATGGATAAACAACAAGGTCCTACTGTATAGTACAGGGAACTATATTCAATATCCTGTGATATTCCATAATGGGAATGAATATAAAAAAGAATGTTAAAAAAAAAAGAATGTATATATATATGTATAATTGAATCACTTTGTTGTACAGCAGAAATTAACAAAACCCTGTAAATCAACTACACTTCAATAAAGTAAGTTTAAAAAAAGAAAAGAATCTAGCCCACAAAAAACTCATGCAAACACAATAGGATATTCATGGGTGTGTTATCTTTAAAAACTGGACTCAACTGAAATGGCCATTAACAGAGGCCTGATTAGTTAAATAAACAATATAGCCTTAAAATTAACATGCAATAACATGGAAGCTTTTTTTTTTTTTTAAGTAGATCTGTATGTCGAAAAGAACACTACTGATAAATTCTGGGAAAAAAATAACTGTAGAAATATATGTGTACTAGAACCCCATTTTTGTAAAACAGAACAAAACTACATCCCTTGAAGGTAAAGGTCAGCAAGGGCAGAGACTGTTAATGATGTTTACAGTGAGAAGTTGGAAGAAAGGATTTTTTCGGGTTTTTTTGGACACTGAAGCCCTTTGAATTTTCACACTTAGCACACACAGTAACAACAAAAGTGTTTGCCTGAGGCATTCCTTTCTAGTTCCATATCAGCTAAGCTGACTCACACCCCAGCCTCTGGCCCTGGCTCCACCCCATACCTCCTGCCCCAGCCCCACTTACAGATGCAGGCAGCAGCCAGCAGGCGGGCAGCAGCATAGGGGGCTAAGCAGTTTGGGAAGATGGGCTGCACCAGGTAGTTGGCAAAGGTGATGGCGATGACGGCCTGGCTAGTGGGCTCGATGATGAGGAGCGAGGTCCAGAGACGGATGAAGGCAAGGAGTCCCCCAAAGGCCTCAAGGATGTAGGCGTAGCTGGCCCCAGATTTCTTAATGGTGGTGCCCAGTTCTGCATAACAAAGTGCCCCGAAGACAGAGAAGACGCCCCCGACTGCCCAGATGACCAGGGAGAGGCCAAAGGAGGCACTGTAGATGAGCACGCCTTTGGGGGAGACAAAGATGCCGGAACCAATCATATTCCCCACAATCAGGCACACGCCATTCAGCAGCGAGATCTCCTTCTTCAGCTGCACCTGCTCTGGCTTGGGGCTGGCATCATTGGCCAAGGGGGTGGCGTCCCTCTCCTGCTGGGAGGCCACTTCATATTTAACGCCGTCAACCATGGTGGAGGAGAAGAAAGCCTTCACCAGCTTCCTGGCATTGCCCTCTAAGGAAGAAAGATGAAGATATATATCAGGTTGGCAATTACAGAGAACTCTGCACCCCAGAAGACAGCATAGGCAATCCACCCACGCCCACCATTTTGGAGACCCTTTGCCTCTGAATGGAATCTCTTCTCCATCTGGCTCATCAAAATGACCCCAACTTGAATCTTAAAAGAAAGGCATTCAATCCTCAGAGAGAAAACATGTTTCTCATCATTAGGCCGGCACTTCCCACCTGATTTACAAAATAGAAAACTAAATTCTGGTTCTATCTGAGCTCACTGGAGACAGGGAGACAAGCAGTTTGGCAGTTCCCAGGTGTCACTATCAAGACGTCAGCCTGTGTTTCAGCCTTACCCCCTAAAAGTCTGTCTTCCCTCCAATTTCAGCCTCATCTGTCACGTGATGAGATGCAACCTTGGAAACCAAACTTGCAAGCAGCTAACCTGTGGGTTCTCAAAACAACACCGGCCTTTTCACCCAAGGACCCTGGCTCTGGCAAACCTAAAAGCTTCAGCGATCCCTTTCTCTGGAAACTCACAGCCATGCCCCTGCTCAGGGAGCATCCCATAACAACAGCTGAACTCTTCAGCCCCAGCAAAGGCCAAGCAGCCCAGCCCCATCAAGAAAGAAGACAGGCCCTTCTTTTCCATGCTTTTCCTTTCCCAGATACCACAGCCCCTAGTCTGCAGGCCTCTAGCCATCAAATCCCTGCATAGTTGCATCACCCAAAAAAGGTACGGATGAGAGATGGGTGCTCCAAATGTACAGCCCAACTAGAGATGACTGGAGGCGCCTGATGACCACCCCCCACCCAGGTGTTGCCACTGCAGAGACAGCACCAAAGCCGAGGCAAGGAAACAGCTGAAGGGAGAGCAAATGCCAGGCATCGCAGAGCAGGAAAAGCTAGGAGGAAGACAGGTCAGGCTGGCCAAGCAAGTGGACAGATCCTAGGGCTAGAGGCACTCAGGAAAGGAAGCGATTGGACACTGCAGAGCAGTAAAGGCAGACTGGGCAAGATGAGCAGGGCTGAGGGGAAGCGGGGAAGCACACTCACTCCCCAGCCCTGAAGGAAGCAGGGCGCCGGCAGCAGCCAGCCACACAGAGACCAGCCTCTGAGGGCTGTGGTCTGATCCCTCCTGCGTTTCAGTAAAAGGAAAGGCTAGGCAAATGCTTGTGGATTTAAGTCAAATCAAGAAGTCAAGAAGGGAGGGGGGAGGAAAAGGGAGGGGTGTTAAGCAACTGTCTGGGTCCAAGGTTCACTGGCCTTTCACATCTACAAGAGGAAGGCTAGCAGCTCTTGGCTCAGCAGTTTCTGCGATAAGAAGGCGCTCTCTCAGGAATCTCCTTTGTCAGCTCTGCTCCAGGACTGGGGGCCCAGAAGAAAGGACCCATGGTCAGCTGAGTGCAGTTTCTGCAACCCCAGGGAAGCTCCCCCCCACCCCCCGGCCCAACCCCGAGCAAATCAGCTGAGGACAGGGCTGCAGCCAAGAAGGAAGGCACTGCCCTCTCTCCCTGTCCTCCAGGCCCCACCTTAGCCCCCCTTCTCTCACCCCACCACTAGAAAGGCGGGAACGCGGCACATTGTAACAGAGGTTTGTTCACATGCAGATTAGAGGAAGTGTAAGTACAGTCCAACTCGTGACCAAGTGTCCTAAGAGAACTCTGCACACTTCCCCACATACAGTGACGGTGGCTGCCCGAAATTTGTGCCATGACCCGAGGGCTGAGCTCAGGCTGCTTCCAAGATCAAAATATGAGACTCAAACCTCTGGCTGCATCTGTGCCCCACTCACATGTCCTTTCATCCTTGAGAAAACATACCAGGATCTCTGCATAAACTCCTACAAACACCTTCCCCAAATACAAGTTTACTCCAATTTCCTAAAAATATGGGGAAAGAATTTTATTTCCAGAATTTTATTCTGGAAAGAACCTCTCCAGAGCTATACTGGAGAGGTCCAAAACAGAGGAAGTTGAGCATTTTGGGGAAAGCAAAAATTCTGTTTTTAGGGGCTACTTAAATTTGGTATTCCTGGTTTCTTTTATCAGCAGAAATGTGTTCATTTTGAAATGCAACTGTCTTTCTATCCCTTCTCAAGCCCTTTCACACCCCCTTTCCTTATTCAATTATCAGAGAACTAAGATCAAAAAAGCCCCAGGGGGCCTTATCGCCACCCTACAACCTCCCAATCCAGTCCCTTAAACTTTTTTTTAACCCCCAGGAAGCTGATCCTGCTGTTAGCCTCCCCAGAGATCACGTGTCTCCCAAGCCACCCTCACAAAAACGTCTTGAAATCCATCCAGAAGACTGTCCTTTTCTCCCAGCTCCCCACTAAATGATTCTGTAATAGTAACTGTCCTTTACCGAGCACTTACCTAAGCCAGACACACTGCTGAACATCTACATGCCTTATCTCATTTAATTCCGCCAGCAGCCCCACAAGGCAGACACTAAGTCACCTCCCAGGATGCCAAAGTAGCAAGGTAGGCGGGCAGGCTAGCCAACACAGCCCAAGCTCTGTCTCTTCAGCCTCCCCAGCCACTCTGACCTGCCCAGTCTCTAGCCCTCCTCTTAGGCAAGAAAGCACTTAAGATGGCTCCCTAATGAATTATCTAGAGGAGGATGTGATTAGATTAAAAGAAAGTCTCTGCCATCCTTCAGCCTGAAGTCCAGGCTAAAGACTCCAACAAAGCCTGTCCATCTCCTTCCTGATTGCTTCTCCCCTTTCTCATCCCTTAGCAGGGATGAGAGGTGATTACAAGTCCTCCTGGCAGTGCTGCTATTTCTAGGGAGCCCACTTCTAAAGCAAACAAAGCACACGGAAACACATCATCATGCCAGGCTTTTGAAGATCAAATTCCCTGTCACCAAGGATGGGTATGTGTCCTAATGGGACATAGTGGAAAGGGATGAAGGGGACGAGAGAAGAGGAAACCGTGACAGTGAGTGGGGAGTGACGTGTGCAGGGTTTAGTTCATGGTTGGTGGTATCTGAAAAGTAACAAAATCAGCATCACCCACTGGGGGTGAAACTCACACTCCAGCAAACAGCACACCCTAGTGGTCTCACCAGGAAATGCTTTCTCTATAAGAGGAGAATCTTCTTCCTAGCCTACTCTTCAATAAACCTGCTCAAACTGGACGGAGGAGGCTGACTTGAGAGAAAAGATGCCCCATCGCATCTTTTCTCAACTACTGCCCAGCACCAGCTCTGTGGGCAGGAAGGCATCATCTTTGGTGGTTCACATTCCTTCCTAAGACCCCAGCTCTCAAGGTAATGCCTCCAACCATTCAGGCAGCCTGGGACCAGCATGACCTGCCCTGAACTGTTCTCTTACCCCAGGCTTTACAAGAGAATCTTACAGAGTCTAGAACCTCAGGAGATAACCAGCGTTCCTGAGGTGCATACATCTCTGAGGACCTAGTGGAGATTACAGGACAACACACTCATCCAACAGAAGAAGTTTCAGATTCAGGGGGTCAGGGAACACAAGAAGCAGGGCTCTCAGCAGGCAGTGCCAGGCACAGCAGCCAGTGAAGCCCCTTGCCCTGACTCCTCCCATGAACAGCAAAACCCAGACACACCTCCTCCAGGAACCAGCGTACAGTTCCTCAGTCAAGCTCAGGTTGCTGAAGTGGGAAGGCACTTTCTCCCCCAGATACCAGGTCCTGCCATCCTAGCTCCAACTGGACTGTGCTGGCTCCCCAAACGACAGAAACAGAAAACAGACACACTCTGCTACAGCTGAATTCCCTCCATCTCCCCAAGCTGGAAGCTCAGCTCCTCCCTCCCCAGTTCTCCATTTGTTTTTCTGTATTCCACTACAACAGCCTCTTAAAAAAAAAAAAAAAAAGTGCAACAAGCAAGCAAGAAAGGATTTACTTCAATGACCATGGCTTCCACTAACATAGGGCTGAAGTCTCATGGCCGAGGGCTGAGACTTGGGAGGGCTGAGGCTAGGAAACAAACAACTTTCAGGACTCCATTCTCCTCCCGCAAGCACTTTCCCTCTTGCCCATTGTCCCTCCCATCCCATCACTTACCTGTCTGAGACCTTTGGACAGGTGCAAGGAGGAGCTACCAGCTCTCTGGAAGAGGGGCCGGCGCTGGGAAAGGGAACAAGGGGTAAGGCTCAAGCTCCAGTAACTGTTGACTCTGAGGAGCAGAAAAGGCAGAGGGTGACTCCGGGGACCGAAACGGAAAACAGGAAAACACATGTGTGACTCTGGCCGGCAGTGGGGAGGGGCCAGGGAACGAGTTGGAGCTGGGACTGCCTGTTCAGACCCTGAGGACCTCAACGGCTGCCTGCCTCCAGGCACCTTCTCCACCCAGAGCCTCAGTTCCTCCCCCACCCGCCTCAGTCCCCGAACTACCTGGCTGTCCTACATTTACTTAGTTCTTAAGTTCTCCCAGTGACCTAGGGTACTCTTGATGCCCTTTGCATGCGTGCATGCTCAGTGGCTTCAGACTCTTTGTGACCCCATGGACTGTAGTCCACCAGGCTCCTCTGTCTATCGGATTCTCCAGGCAAGAATACTGGAGAGGGTTGCCATGCCCTCCTCCAGGGGATTTTCCCGACCCAGGAATCAAACCCATGTCTCTTGCGTCTCCTGCATTGCAGGATTCTTTATCACTGAGCCACCAGGGAAGCCCCTTGATGCCCTTTACAACTCCCCTGGCCCCTCACTCCATTCCCTGCTCAACTCCCACTCACACACTATCCTTGGTCCTGTGGAGGGCACAAGATCCATGGTTAGGGCATTAGAACTCTGTGCTCCCATCTCAAAAACCTCAGCCACTTCAATCCCTATGTAGGGCAACACATGCAGAGGAAGGCCAGTTGTGGGGGGCACAGCCACGCACACACCCAAACACTAAGCAAATCTGCTCACACCTCAGGTCCACAGCTGGTTCAGGTGACGCATGGCAACCCAGGTAAGAGCCAGGCAAGTGG